AGGACCAACAGTGAATGAGCAATCACGGTATGTGAGCGTGGCAGGGAGGGAGTCAGTCCTGGAGCAGAGTGGACCCACGGGACATCTCCTAGAGGACACAGTGACCACCATGGGCACTTTGAACATCCCAGGAGGCCACAGGGGAAGGCTGTGAGCTCTGCCACAGGAAGTAGGCAGGAGAAGGGATGAGCTGAGGACCCATGGAGCCTGGGCCATGGAGTGCACAGTGTTGGGGTCCTCGGGGAGCAGTGGAGGAGGCCGTGCTCTCAGGGCATGGGGAGCAGGAGGCTGGAGAGAGGTGAGGTGAGGTGCCCCGGGGGGGTGGTCAGGAAGCAGGGCCCATGGGAATCAGGGACCTTGTGAGGTACAGATGCCAGTGGTGACAGGAGAGACCTAGGGTTGCAGATTGACAGCAACCTGGAGGTGGAGTGGACAGGCTGAGGGTGACTGGGCCAGGCCAGTGTTGGGGAATGGTGGGAACCACATCTGGGAAGCAGCTGGGACTTTGGGGGTCAGCTGTGAGATTCGGGGCCAGCAGAGGGGCTTAAGTTGGTGGTGGGGACCCCAGTGAGGGCTCCTCCTCCACCATGTTCTCCTGCGGGGATAGGCAGAGCAGGCTGGGCGGGCTGTCCAGGCTCACCCAGGGCTTGGGGCCCCCATTCTGGTGCTGTCCCCTGCTCTTTGTCTGTGGGAGGAAGGGGACAGGAGAGGGGTTGTAGGGCAGCTCACTCTGGGCTCCAGGGGCACTGGGTATTTCCTGTGGGCAGATGGGATGCCTTGCATGGGCATGTATGGCTTGTTTGGTTAATTTTTAAATGTAAAATATACATGCCCTAGAGTGTATGATTTTGGCGATATTTAAAAGCATATTCAATGGCATTAAGTATTCATCACCTGTTGACCTTTTTCATCCTCACCTGCAACTCGGTACCTGTCAAACGGCAAATCTGTGTCTCCCACCACACTCCCCTCTCCAGCTATCAATCAGACTCAGCCGTGGGACTGTGTGGCATTTGGTCCTCGTGTGGCTGGTTTATTTCACTGATCACTCCTATTCTAGTGTGTTCATTCCTGTTCTAGTGTGAATCAGAAGTGATTTTTTAAAGGTGTGTAGTATTCCACTATATGGACATACCATATTTTCTGTATCTCCCACCCAGAGAGGGACACTTGGATTGCTTCCTCTTTTCTACTGTCATGAGTAGCTGTTATGAATGTGAGTAGACAAATATCTATCTGGTGCCTGCTTTCATTTTTTGTGTGTATGAATGCCCCTAAGTGGAACTGTTGGGCCATGCAGTCATTCTGTGTTTAGCTTTTTGAGGAACTGCTGAATGTTCCTTAGCACTTGTGCCATTTTGCATTCCCATGCCAGTGCACAGGTGTTCCAGTTTCTCCAAACCTAGTCAGCACTTGTTTTCCCATTTTTTTCTAGTGCTGTTTTGAGTAGCTTCCTGATGAGTGTGGCAGAGTCTTGCTGTGGTTTTAATCTACATTTCTCCAGTGATGGGAGTGCTGAGCGCTGGTCAGAGGTTCCCCAGAGGAAGGCACCTGCCGATAGGGAAATCAGCGTACCAGGGGGTGTAGGTGTGTGCCTTGGTTACTTTCTGATTGTGGGGACAAAATACCCGACATTCACAATTTACAGGAGCGGTTTATGTGGCTCACTCTCAGAAGGTTCAATCTGTGGCCCACTGGTTAAGGGCAGCAATAGGGTGGCCAAGGGGCTTGGCCAGCGCAGATGTGCTCAGCCTGTGGAGGGCAGGAAGTGAGAGCAAAGGCAGCGGCCATCCCTTCCTCCCAGGCTCCGCCTGCAAACAATATATTGGGCCGTGAAGTCTCTAGTGGCTGAATCCGCTAACACTGTGGTAACTTGGGTGGCCCAGGAGAGGCTGGAGCTGCATTGGGCTGGCCTTGGCCTGTGGGGGGCATCACTCCTATGGCAGATATGTGACCGGCCATGGATTCCAGAGAGCGGCCGCAGGGTTGCCTCGATGGCCATGTTGGCTGGAGTCTCTGCTGGGGAGGTGACCACCAGGTTAACTCTTCACCTCCCTTACTGACACCTTCAGTGTTGAGCTCTGCAATGGTTAATTGTGATTGTCAACTTGATTGGCTTGCGATATGCCTAGGAGATTAGTAAGGCACACTTCTTGGTGTGTCTGCGAGAGTCTTGGGTGGGGCGTGATCTCAGGGGATTAGATCTGGTCTCTGGCTTTCTTCTTACTAATTGATCTCTTCTGATGCAGTCCGTTTCCTGGTTGAGATGAGTTTTTCTTCACTAGGCTCCTGTGCTGTATTTTTGCCTTGAAGCCAGCTGACCACGCATTGAAATCTCTGAAAGCGTGAGCTGAAGATAACCTTTCCTCTTTTCAATTATGTGCATCAGGCATTTTGTGCTAGAAAAGGAAGGCTGACTTTGAATGCTATAAGCTGAGCTTGATGGGAACACAGAGCCCGGAAGATTAGAATGCTAATAGGAATGAGGACAGGGACAGCCAGGATCAGCAGGTTTCAGATACAGTGAGGACTCCATTGGAACTGGACCAGGCTGTGCATGTTGCATTCTGGTGAAGAATTTGTCTACGTGTTGTCTGTGCCCTAAAGCTTTGTGAGCCTGAGCTTATAGGCAATGGAAAGTTGATGGATATATAATTATCAAGGAAGAATAGGCTGGTAGAAAAGCACAGGGATCCTAAGGAAAACCAGCAACATTGTATGAAAAGAAGAAGATATCAGCCCAAGGTCCCTCAGTTCAGAGGAAAACACAGCAGCGACCACGGGAGGCAGGCAGGTGCCCACAGTGCCACTGCCTGGGTGCCCTGCAGAAGGCCCTAACACCCAGGAAGAATGGGAATGGGAGATGCCGGGAAGACCAATGACGTAAAAGGACCAGGGATCCTGGGGTTAGTGTGGTGGGGCCCACCTTGGGATGGAGGAAAGTTCTGAGACGGTAACATGAATCACAGAGCAAACTACAGGTTAGCAAGTGAGGGCCACAGCACCGTGGTTTGGGTGTGGTTGGTTGGTTCCTCCTGTGCTGCTCCCATTCTCGGTCCTCTGGATCCACAAGTTCCCTTTCTGTTTCCCCATGATCCTGTGCCACAGCCAGGGGCCTCACCAGGATGTGGGTACTCTCTTGTCTTTATAAAGTACAGAGTCTCGGGTACTTTGTTACAGGAACACAAGGTGAAGGTCGGCTCCCTGCTTGGGGTGAGGATGGGCAGAGCATCCTCATCTCCAGGTAACACCTGTGCTGCTGGAGTCCTGGGCTTCTCCTGTGGAAGGGGGCCTTCTGTTCTAGTGAGCACCCTCTTCAAAGCAGGGCCACCCGGAGCAGCCAGGAGGGAGGGGAGGGTGTGGTGGCCACAGGGGCTGGATGAGCCAGGATGCTGAGAATGGCCACGTCCTGGGTGGCTCTGGGCAGAGCTGCTGCCCCCCTTGGTGGCCCTTGGCCCTTGCCATAGCAGCCCAAGGAGAGGATCAGGGTTTCTGAGGAGCCTAGAATGTCCATGTCCTCCTGTGAGCCATCTCCTGGAAGGTCTCTGCAGGTGGACCCCTGGCTGGCTGCAGCTGCCTGGTATGCTGGCCCACGTGTGGTGTCTGCTCTGGGGTGGCACTGGGGAGTCTGAATTCATCATGATCTTGGGGGACATTGATGTCTACAGCTTTCTTTTCTCAGAACCTGAGAGTCTCACAGGGGAGGCGCAGGTGGGGCTGGAGCTGTCTTGTGGCTAAGTTTCCACTGCGTGACCACACAGCCCAGACAGGATGGAACCTCGCCTGGGGCCAGGCTGTGGGGGAGAGGCCCAGCCAGGTGCATGGGGTGAGCCCTCTGCTCTGATGCCTCCTCCCCCAATCAGAGGTGACGTGGAAGAAACCTGGGCGTGACTCGGGGTAACAAGCTCACTGGCATGGCCCGGAGTTCCTGTTAAGCCTGAGTGAAGGGAGAGCCACACGGAGGGCCGTGTCTTGTGTCACATGTTGCTTGGGCTGCAGTGTCCTGTGTGTGCACAGAGTTCAGGTTTGCAGTGCGTTCTCAGTGACACACAGATGACCCCCATCAATGCTCACCGACATGCAGACTTGGACCTTGGCCATCATTTCCTGGAAGCCCTGCATGTAACTGGGTCATGCAAAGCTCTGATTCAGTTCCCAGGACACCCAAAGCTGTCCCTGTGTCTGCACCTTCATGTCATGGGGGCAGTGCTGGTCATTTCAGTGTCACTTGGCACTCACTACCTCCTACCTGGGCAGGTCCCTCTTCCTCCGTGCACCTGACAGTGCTGTCCAGACAGGAGCCACCCGGAGTGCCACCCTGAGGTCCTCTGCCCCAGCCAGTCTGAGGACCCCGCCCTGCAGTGACCTGGGAGTGTGGACTGAGGTGTCAGGGATCTCGCTGGGGCCTCCCCACCTTCTAGGTGTTAGAAATGACACAATGTGTCTGGCGAGGTCCCTGGACTTGTTCAGCTGATCCTGCTGCTGGGATTCTAACGGAGGAGGGATGGGTGTGAGCCTGCCTTTCCCCAGGACGAGGGGAAACTGATGAGGCCCTGGGGAAGCTGGGGAGGGGAGCCGCAGGAGGATGGGCTGCAAGCCACGCTGGGACCTGTTCAGTACGCAGGGAGCAGGGCCAGTTACCCACCTCACCTTCCCATGCTGATTTAAAGATTTTCCTTCAAACCCAAGAGGCTGAAGACTCAGGAAAGCACTGCCTTTTAAGGTCAGGAACAGGAACCAGCCACTAACCTGGGCCATTAGAGTATGACTCAGTTTCCCTGGGCCGTTCCTGACAGTAGGCTTGGGGATTTCTCCCTTTGCCTTTGGGGTACTAGCAGAGGCCCTGACCCAGGAAGGCATAGCAGGAGCTGGAGGACTAGGGGACTCCAGGAGGCTCTCTTCAGACCCCCAGCCCTTATGTGGCCTCACGACTGGCTTGTGACCCTGAACTTCCTGGGCCGCACCCCCCACTGCCCGCAGAAGAAAGACAGGAGCCCAGGGAGGGAAGCAGGTTGGCAAACTTGTTTTGTTTTTAGATGGTAGCTTTCTCTTTGTCAGAAAATATCCCTGGGAGGCAAGTTCCCTGCAGGGAACAAAACAGCACCCAAATTCATCCTCCTTATGGTCATTTCTGCAGGACTGCTGAGGTGACCTGCAGCCCGCTGCTGTGTGCTGGCCCGCCCCAGGAGGGCTGTGCCACCCACAACAGGGCTCAGCATTTCCAGGCTCTCCTTGGCCAGCTGGCCTTGAGGAAGGGTGGGGTTGTAGCCCTGAAGACCCAGCCTCTGAGCTACATCACCCTGGGGCAGGGCTCAGGCAGGGCAGGATGGCCAGGGGCAGGACGGGGCAGCAGGGATGGACCACGTGAACAGCGCCCTCCTCTGAGCAGGCTGGCAGACCCCACTTCCTTCGGACATTCGGGATCTCAGATGGCTGAATATGGTTGGTGTGTGTATGTGTGTGTGTGTGTGTGTGTGTGTGTGTGTGTGTACGCACGTCTGTATGAGAGAGACAGAGGCTGCTTGTTTGAGGGGATGGGGTGTAAGCTCTTTGGTTTTGGGGGTGGGGGGTCAGTCTGTTGTAACCCTCAGGAAATGCCTTCAGTGGCAAAGTCCTCCAGGTCATCGGTGGAGATGATGGCCAGGCCTGGGGCTTCCGCTTCCTCATCCTCTGGGCCCCTGAGTGGCGCTCGTGTGTGCTGGGCAGCCTTGGGTGGGCTGGTGTCCCCCTGAGGCCCAGTGGCGGGCCAGGGCCCTGTGTCGTGGACGCTGTGGGGCCTAGAGTGGAGGCCCTGCCCTAGGAAGGTGGGTGCGGAGAGCTGGGAGGAGCAGCGCAGGGGCCTCAGTGCTGTGACGGGCACAGGCCGCAGGCCTGGGTACAGCAGGTAGGGCATAGCCAGGGCGTCCTGGCCAGGTGGCTCAAGGGGGCCCCCCTCAGAGATGGGGACTGAGACCTTAACATACTTGCCGGTCTCAGGGTCGTAGAAGGTCTTGATCTTCACCTGCAGGGGCAGGTCAAAGACGAAATACTCCCCAGACTGTGGGTCCTGGAGGACCTTCTGCGTGGCAGGGTACGGGTGCAGTGGTGCCAGGGGCTGGCCCCCCCATGGTCGCCTTCCCATGGGTTCCACCACGCCGGACACCGAGTGGCGGTGTGCAGGAAGGGGCAGTGCACGCACGGTGGGGAGCCGGGGTCCCTCCCCAAGGGCCCGGGGCCCACCTTCTGTCCCCCCACGACCTTCACAGGCTTCGTCGAGCCTCTCTGGCACCTGACTGCTCTTCCTCCGCTTGCTGGCCAGCTTCTTCGCTCGCCGCAGGGCCTTCTCCGTTTTGGGGGGCACGGCGGGGGGCTTCTCGGCTGTCCTCTCCAGCTGAGCTGGAGGCTCAGGTCTCTCAGGGCCGGGGGTCGCCTCTAGCATGGAGCCTCTTGGGGACAGCTCCCGGAGGTCCTCGGTGGCTGGCTGGTGCTGCACATCTGGGCCTTCTGGCTCCCACGTGAGGCCATGCATCAGGTCTTCCCGCCGTGCCATCTTGGTGGGGCCTAGGCTGGCGCAGGGGCTGGCACTGCCAGGGGGCTCCTCATGCATCAGACCCAAGTCCCCAGGGCCCTGAGAGCCATTGTCCCAAAGGCTGCTGGCAGAAGGTGAGCAGGCACTGCTGTCCCCCAGGGAGCTGGAGTTGGGGGACGTGGCCATCTCGCCCAGGACCAGTCTTCTCCCGGGAAGCCCTGCTCTGGGTGCAGATAGAAAGTGGCCTTGGATATTTTGCAGAGTCTGCTCCTCCCAGCAGGTGGCCAGTATCTGCTGGGCCGGCTGCTCTTCCAGGTCACCCTCCGGGAGAGCAATGGTGGGGATGCGTCTGGGCTTCCTCCAGTCTGCAGGCCTGTTCCTCCCATCACTAGCCACGACTTCCTGTGCCCTGTCGGGGGATGGCTTCATCCTGTGACCCTCTCCCACCAGTGGCGGAGACGAGAAACTCCCCTCAGGGTCTGGGCAAGAGACGTCCCTTTCAGCTGCCAAGGACACCTGCCCGGGATCCCTGTGTTTTGAGCCTCCTGTGTTAGCGGGTGTCAGGGTGCTGGGCATTTCCTGGCTTTCAAGGGCCCCACGCCCTCCTGCAGCCTCACCCCAGCCTTGCTTTGGGGATTCTCTCTCTCTGTGGCCACTTCCAAGCGAGTCGTCTGAGGACAAGGTCCTCAGGAGGGGTAGGATGACAGGTTTGATCACGGGGGTGGCCCTCAGCGTGTTGTCTTTAATAGTAAACAGCGGGTGCCTGTTTGCGGTTGAAGACGGACAGGGCGTGGGGTCTCTGGCCTGTGGAAGGGCCGTGTCCTTGCTTTCCCCCATCCGAGAGCCTCTGAGCTTTGCTTCCTCGGCAGACGCCCTCCCAGATCTGCCTGCACATGGTCCTCCCGCACTCTGCAGAGCTGCACCCTGGCTGCGCTCTCCTCCACTCCCGTGCCCGTTACTCATGGCATCTCCTGTCCCTGTCACGTCCTCCTTCTCTGTCTCACCGTCACCTGCACTCACATCATTCTTCCTGTCTTCCCGCTGGCTCTCGGAAAACCACATCTTCTGCTGATCATCACCAAACGATGCAAAGGACTGATCCGAAGAGCTGGTGCTGAACTTAGTCTTCCTCCGGAAGCTTGGCATGAAGTCAGACTGGCTGTCGCTGTAAAACACATCTTCCTCCTCAGGGGACAGGGGCCCTGGAGAGACTTTCTGGTCCAGAGGTGGTTTCTGAAGCCCTGTCTCGTGCTCGGCTTCTGTCTCCTGGGAGATGGATCGCAAGAGCCCGTTCTCCAGCTGGGGGGGCTTGGTTTGTTCTGCAGCTTCCCCGACCTCCACCTCGGGCTCCCTGGGGCACAGCTTCAGGGACAGGTGCTTCCTGGGGCCACGTCCCCTGCTGTCTGGATGCCAGGTGGACCTGGAAGAGCCAGGTTCTGAGTCCCTGTCCCCGGCATCTTTTGCCTCACTGTCCCTGCCTGCAGCCTTCCCGTTGACACAGAAAGGGATCGTGGCAGCCATGGAAGGGGGGCCGAGGTTGTACGCTGAGGCCTCACCAGGGTGGGCTGCAGGGCCCTGGGTGCCAGTGTGTGAGGTGCAAGGGCCCTCGGCCGGCCTCTCTGCAGACAGCTCACTTGGGGGGCTTTCCTCCTCCACCCCGTTGGAAAGCTCCACTCCATTGCTCATGGGCTCTGGTTTGCTGTCCGCCTTCCCCCGGAGTTTCTCATCGAAGCCCTTGGAGAGCGGCGAGGGGCTGTAGATGCTCTTGACACGCTTCCGTACGTCCTTGAGGTTGAACAGCAGGCTGGGCGCTTTGGATTTGTAGCTGTCTCTCGGCGGACACTCTCCGGGCTCCCGCTCCTGGTACCCGTTCAGCTGCACCGGTGGGGAGGGGCTGGGTTCCTCGGGCTGGCTGTCCTGTGACTCCAGGGCATGCTTGGTGGGGATGATGGGGGTCAGGAGCTTGCTGATATTGAATGGAGGGGTGCAGTGCAGGTTTCGGTCCCCAGCGGGGTCCATGGTGTCCTTCTCTGCGAGGTGCACCTGTGCATTGTGCTTTGCATAAAGCGCAGAGCTTCTCCTGTGAGTCTGTTTCTGCTCCTCGGTGACTTCTGCCAGATTCTCCTTCCCACCCCTGCTGGCCTTTGGCTTTCTCCACGGAGGCTGGGTCGGCTTCCCCTGAGGGTCGGGCTGTGAACTGGGTGGTTTTCCGTCCATGTGGAAACCCTGGGTTCCCGGGTCCCTGGACCCCCAGAGCCCAGAGGTGGACAGAACTCCCGCAGCTGGCACATTCTCCTCCTGAGCGCAGCTGGGCCGCATGGGGCAGGGTGAGACCTTGTGATGCGTTGCGTGGGCTTCTGTTACAGGCGTCACATCTTCATACTGTTTGGACACCTTGTTTTCAGGGATGCTGTCAGCACTGGTCTTTCTTTCGAGCAGCTTGGGTTGGTGGGCGTCCCATGACTCAAAGGCACTGTTCTCACTGTGCAGAAAGGTCCCTTTGTGTGCCCACTCCTGGCATCTGCTGGGCTCCCCCTTGGCTGGCTGGTGCGGTGGAGAGGGGAACTTGGACTCCAACGAGCTGGCCACGCTGTCTGGTTTCGATAGGAAGCCACTGGCGCCCTGATGGATCATCTCGGGGTTCTTGGGGGACTCTCGCTCTCCGTGGCTCTGGGGGTGCTGGTGGCTTCCTTGGTGAGTGCTGGAGACTTCAGCGGGCACCCTCCTGACCGTCAGGAAGGCAGAGTCGAAGCAGAAGTTAACGCTGCTGTCAGGAAGAGGGGCGAATTTGGGGGCGGTTTTGAGAGCCGGGGGCTTGCTGGGGGGTGGCCTGTTGTCACAGCGCTGGCGCTCAGTCCTGTCGAAAGACCTGATCAGGGATGATACCTTGGAAACAGGCTTGTTGCTGCTGCGCAGACCCGAAACCGGCACCTCCAGCCTCCACTGAGCTGGTGCGGGTGGGGGGCTGCTTTTGGGGTATTTGTCCTCCCCCTGAACGTACTTGGGCTGCTGATGGAAGGTGGCTGCCCAGCCCTTGTGCTCTGTGCCCTGCGCTGGAAGCTGGCTCCAGATGCCGCTCTTCCTGTGGGTGTGGTTCATGGTACCCTGGTGGAGCGGCCCAAACCTCTGGCGGGAGATATCTGGGGACAGGGCCAGATCGGAGTCGTGGAAGGAGGCATCCTCGGAGATGCACAGGCTGCGGAAGGCCCGATCGGTGAGGCTGCTCACCTCCCGGTCCGCGTCATCCAGCACGCTGCCGATGCTGGAGGAGTCGCTGAAGCCGTCTGTGCCCTTCTTGTTACCCTGCATGTCCCCGTCAGCTGGGGGCCTTTGGGCGGTGAGGCTGGAAGCCCAGGTGCAGCCCACTTCCCACCAGATCGCAGTTTCCTAGGGACCAGTTCCGATCACAAAGCGCGGATTCTCTTTTTCTCTGTAAAAAAAAAGACAGTATGGTGTGAGCAGGGTGTCCTGCGTAACGGCTCCACACAAGAGCCCCCTGCTGTTCTGGGTGGGCAGTGGTGACCGTGATGACCGATTTTATGATGACCTGGCCGGTGACCGGCAGCTGCTTTTAGTGCAGCGCTCGCCTAGATGTTGCTGTGACACTTTCAGATGTGACTGACCTTAGAGTCGAGACTCTAGGCAGACTTTCCCCCATCGTGCGGGTGAGCCTCATCGAATAGGCAAAGTCTTAACGGGAGCATGTTTGCGAGGTCAAAGGCAATGAAAACAAAAATTGGACAAGTGGATCACGTCAAACCAGAAAGCTTTGGGAGAGCAAAGGGAGCACCTGATCCAGTGAGAGGGCCGTGCTTGGAATGGGTAGGAGTACTTATTTGCAAACTGTATAACTGATAAAGGATTAATATCCAAAAATACATAAGGACCTCATGTAATCAATAGCAAAAAGATTAACAACAAAGCAAAAGCAAATGACTTAGCCACAACCTGGAGAGAAATTCTGAAAAGAAGGGAGGAAAAGTATAGGAAGAGGCACTCAACACCTCTCCCCATCAGGGAACCCAGGAAGTCACCAGCACCCCAGAGCCACGGGGAGCGAGAGTCCCCCAACAACCCCGAGATGATCCATCAGGGCGCCGGTGGCTTCCTGTCGAAACCAGACAGCGTGGCCAGCTCGTTGGAGTCCAAGTTCCCCTCTCTACCGCACCAGCCAGCCAAGGGGGAGCCCAGCAGATGCCAGGAGTGGGCACACAAAGGGACCTTTCTGCACCGTGAGAACAGTGCCTTTGAGTCGAGGAACGCCCACCAACCCAAGGGAACTTTAGGTATAAGACGCGGTGGGGAGAAGGACCCTTGTGCTCTGCTGCCAGGAATGCACATAAAACAACCTCACGGAAAAGAGCATGGGGTCCCAGAAAACACCAAAAACCGTGGGACCTTCCGATCCAGAGGTTCCCTTCTGCATATGGACCCAGAGTGACTGAAACCAGACCCTTAAAGGAGATACCTGCACTGCCGTGCTCGTAGCAGGGGCATTCTGAGTAGGGGGACACAGGCGCACCCTGAGCATCTGGGTGGATGGATGGATAAAGACGAGTGCTCTAGACATGGAGTGGAGGGTCCCTTAGCCTCGAGAAAGAGGGACATCTCATTATTTGTCACAGCACAGGTGACCACAGGGCCCTCACGCTAAGTGAAATAAACCACACACAGAAAGACAAACATGATACCGATTGTGTGAGGATTCTAAAATGCACCCCAAAGCAGAGCAGAGGTGGTGGCTGCTAGGGACCCGGGCGGGGTGGGGACAGGGAGGTGCTGCCCAATGGATTGAATTTTGGAGTCTGCAAGGTGATCAGTCCTAGGGATCCCCGGTCCCTCATGCCGCTTACAGTCAGCAGTGCTGTACTGAGTATTCGGAAGGTGGCTAAGAAGTTAGTCTGGGTTAAATGGATTTCTCTCTCTCTGTCTCTCCCTGCACACATCCTGTTGGTTTGGGTCTGCAGAAGCCTGACTGATACACAGCCTGAAGCCAGCTGTCGTCTGTGTGAGCTTCCTGACACCCCATGGGGTGTCCCCCACCTCCTCCACTGCCTGGCTTTTTATCCTGCAACTGAGCAAGACCTAAAGTTAGATTGATTTCTTATTTGTCTGTCCCCTCATTGTCCCCTAAACCCTGGAGCTCAGGGGCTTGTCCCTCATCGGGTCCCCCTACAGGAGGACACAGCCCTCAGCGCCTAGATGTCAGGCCTGAGCGTGGCCTGCAGAGGAGCTGGTGGCCAAGAGGGGGCAGGATGGCCGTATGTGGCTGACACTCTGCTGTCCTCTGTCCCTGCAGCCCCTCCCTGGGCCTGGGAGAGCTGCCACCACCGTCCCTGAGTAACTCCACACCCCTGGGTCTCCTGCCACACTCCTTTATTATATTGTCTTCTGTTTAAAAACTTGTCCTGAAGCGGACATGGTAGAGAATTTGGCGTTTTAACCATTTGTGAATGTGGCGCCAGCGACGCCACCATCCAAAGCTCTGTGTCCGCAAAACACTAGCTCCCCAGGTCTCTCCCAGCCTCTGGCACCCTCCCTTCTCCTTCTGGTCCCCGCCACTGACTGCTCTAGGATCGTGGGAAGAACGCAGGGGTACGACATTTGTCTTTTGGTTTCTGGTTTATTTCTTTGGCATAGAGCCCTTGAAGTGCTTTTCTCTGTGCTGCAGGTTGTGTTGGAATTTCCTTCCTTTTTAAGGCTGAACCATATCTGTTAGGCACACCTATTCCTGCTGCTGTCCCTGTGCCTGTCCCCACCCCTCTCCTCCGTCTCTATCTCACTGTGTCCATCTGTGCACACACACAGGGTCACCCATTGATGTCCGTGTGACTTGCCCTTGTTCTCCCTATGGAACCCACACTCAGGTCTCTAATGTAAAAGGTGCATTATTTCCGTGCAGCCTACAAAACCCTCCTGTACATTTTGAATGACGGCTAGATGCCTAAGCCAGATGCAGAGCAAACGCTCTGTAAGCAGTGGTCTTTGCGCATTACTTAGGGAAGAATGACCATTAAAGGCATCTAGGCTTGTTTGTTAAGGAGCCTTTTGGATGCTCTGGACCCACTTTACAGACAGGACCCCGTGGACGGGAGGACCATGCCACGTGTGTGCCTGTCACCCACTGGTGCATAGACAGCCGGCTTCCAGCTTTTGGATGCTTCGGGTGATGCTATGTGAATGTGGGTGTGCAAATGTTGCTTTTAGACTCGACTTTCGATTCTTTGGGGTCCAAGTCTCTGGTCCCCAAATCAGGACTGTTGGATTGTATAGGAAAGGCTTTGTGTCCTGACCCAAGGTGTGGTCCCCTTCGAGGGGGGCCCTTTCTTCTCACTCTGAGCATGACAGCCAGCTAGAAACTTAAGACACAGCTCTGCCAGGCCCTCACCAGGCCACGTGCCCATGACCAGAAGGGTGTCTCTGAGCACAGGTGGCCTGAGTCCAGAACTATGGTGTCTGCAGGGCCGGAGACTTCTAAGGGCTTGGAGGGAGGAGCTGGTGCAGATTGGGACCCTGTGGGTCTGCCTTGCCTTCCCCTGCTGCTGGTCTGGGGTCCACGTGTCCCCTTTTAAGAGGATCTGAGGCAGAATGGATCAGGGCCCACCTAAAACCTCGGCTTTATTTCCAGTGTAGTCCTGGATCTAGGACGGCAGTGTGTAGATTCTCAGGGACTGAGTTCAGTCATAACTTTCAGGCAGTCAGTCTGCAACCCAAAGGCAAGCTGCCATGACCACCAAAGCCCGTCCTGTTGGGGATGGCATCGTGGGCAGTGAGGAGCCGGGTCCTTGATGACAGACTATGCATTCTGAGGGATGGTAGTGGGTCTAGGGGCAGCTTAGTGGCTTTGGCCACTGTGAGTCAGGTTTCCTGTCCTTAGCACCCTCCAGGACAGTGCAGAGTTGGGGTGCAGTCTCCTCCTATCCCGAGTGCTGGGATTTCGCACTTGGCCACAACTGGTGATGAACCCAGAAATCCTGGGGTTCCTATACTTCCATTTCAAGATAAAAATCAGGTTGGTACAGTCTGAAATCTAGACTCTCAGGGTCATGTAAAAGCCTACTGTCTGTCTGTAGGAATCTGCTGTGATTTTTGAATGTCATCCTCCCCCAAGAATCTTCACTTTGGGGAATCGCTTCTCCCACTGCCGTGTTTGGTCCTGGTGTGCAGAGTCAAGGTGCAGGACAAAGCTTCTGGCCAGCGTGGAGATGACACCCAGGACAGAGCCAAGGACAACTGACTGTTTTTCCTGAGTTCCAGGGGCTCAGGCTCTGCCAACCCCGCCCTTCCGCTCCTGGACCCCTAAATCCAATTTATTTCTGCTTGTGTGCCCAGGTTCTGTTGCCTGGGGCCTAACTGATCTCAGGTCCCATCTTAATTCCAAACAGCAGTACAGACAGTCACAGACATGGTGTCCAGAACTTCACAGGCCCGATGACCGTGGACGAAAACCTATGGAAACAGGTTCATTATCTCAGGCGTTTGTGTCGGGGACGGGCAGCTGGGCCCCACACATACCCGTGACAGCAGCAGCGTTTGCATGTGCCAGCTCACCGGGTTTCAGGGTCTGGTGTTTCCAAATTTCTTTTCTTGCCCACTTGTGATGTTATTACAGCCCATCTAGAAAAAAGAGGGACAGTAATGTTAGTGACCAAAGGGCCAAGACCTGCTCCTTGGAAAGCCATCTTTAAACACCAATACCGTGGTTATAATTTGTAATGTAATTGGCCTGCAGTCCTTTTTAAAAAATTCACACTCGAACTCAGCAAAATTCCAGACATCGGCATTTTTGGGGAAATCCGACATAAGGTTAATTCGTATTTCTTCTAATATTTATGAATTTGTCCACTATCCAAGCAATCTTCAGGAGCCTATTGTAAGCCTTTGGGATTCCTAATACAATTGGCCCAGTTGTGAATTTATTTATTTATTTGCTAGTAAAATTTGACCAAGACCTCTTTGCTCACTGGATTAGTGACTCAGGTTCACAGTGCAGGGGACCTGCCTGGCCAGACTCGAAGGCTAGAAAGGTCCTTGATATTAGCTTTGTTGTTGGCAGGAGGCTGGGGTGTCTGTCACGATAGCTACAATAACCAAAAAGCTATCTGGGAGGATTTTCTGAGTGTTCAGGATGAAGTATAAGCTAATTAAAACAATCCCATTCTGCAAATCTGAAACGCAAGCCCTGGGGGCATCCACAAAACCCTCCTCATGCTGGGAAGCCTGGATGTCCATCTAGTCGGGGGTGTGTAGTAATGGTAATAACTAGGATTTGGGAGCATATTTCTTTGGAGCGGACCGGAGTTCCTGGGGCCTGGGCCATACGGTGAGGCCTGTATGACTCACCAGCTGGTGGTGCCCTCCCTGAAGCTCCTGTGGCCCTGTGACAGATTGCATGACGAGTGTCACCCAGATATCTAGAAACTGGAGATCGCTCTCTCTGTCCCCCACCGGAAGCTGCTCGAGCCCTCGGAGGGACCCGCGTAGTTTTGCGCCCTAAGCATGCCGACAGGAAAGCTCAGTTACGTTTTTGGCAATGCTCTGAGTTGCAGGGCTTCATCTTGGTTCACCCCTCTGCCAGGGCCAACTGAGGCTCAGAGAGGAGGAATCAGATAGCAGCAGAGACCGTCACCCTGGGTCGTAGGGCGTTCTGAAAGTCAGACTGTGTCAGTCACATCACTGCGTGCTAAGCCCACCCCCCTGCCTGTGTCCTATGTAGGGCTCAGGGAGGAGGGCTGGTGCCAGCTGGGGCAGACGGACAGGGCACTGGCGTGAAATGACCTGTGGCATTTGCTTTGTGGATGTTCAGGGGACCTGTCGCTCTGGTCTCCTTGTCACTGCTATGGACACACATGTTCCGAGGCCAGCACATCTCTGGACTCTGTGTGTCTTCACCTGGGTGCCTGTTAGGTGAAGGAGTGGCACTGTGGGTGACAGCTACACAGGGACACAGGTGAGGGTCCAGGTGGTGCTTGCTCTGTGGCAAGCTGGAGCCGGCCTGCATGGTGCAGCTGGTTCTGCATGACCCAGGAACACAGAGGGGACCTGGTACCTAGGCACACATGCGAGGCGAATACTTGTGCAGCCCAGGCGTGAACATGGCTCTCCTCTCCTCGTGAAGGGCCCTCCTGATCAGAACAGATCATACAGTCAAATGAGAGCACGGGCCACGGGCCGTCCTCTTCTGAGGTGAGCTCTGACACATCTCTTCCCAGTCACCAATAAATGTTAACTCTTCTGGAACATTTTCATTCATTTTTCTATTGTTTTGGTGCTAGAGATTGAATCCAGAGCTTGTATGCCAAGCCACATCCCCAGCCCTTTGTTAAATTTCATTTTGGGAACAGGTCTCGTGAAGTCACCTGGTTGCCCACGGTCCCCCGCTTCTGCTCCTGGGGTACTGGAACTGCAGGTGCACTCACAGCAGCCCCATGTGCCAGGCTGTCCCAGGGGCCCCGCCCGCAGCCAGTGTTTGGAGATCCAAGGCTAAGGAGCCAGCCGGTCCGGTCCCGCATGGCAAGAGCTTTGATTGGTGGTACTGGAGGCCCCCATGCAGAGTCACCACAAATGAGCATTTGGTCAGCCTCCATTCTGAGATAAGAAGACAATGCTGAAGGAAATGCCAACAGTCCACAGGTTGCAGGTGGGGGTGACAGGCTGGGACCCAGGCTGTGTGGCCCTGGGGTCCGTGCACAGCAGTGGGGTGTAGCTGAGGCCTGGAGCTCACAGGACATCCACGGACGCTGGGCTCAGATGACGCAGACTCCTCTGTTAGCCTGGATGTATCCCAGGCTGGACATGAGCACACTCATGGCGGACAATGGCTTGTCTGGAAGTCACCGTGCATGGCCTTCCTGAGTAGCAGCCTTAAGCCTCATGGCTCTGCAGGCCCCAGATGGATCCGAATTGCAGGAAGCTGGTATGGGAGCCTGAGCCGGGATGATGACACGGGTACCCTGGGGAGGACACGGTGACAGCAATGCCCACCTCTGCATGTCACCCTGCAGGTCTGATCCCCACACCCCTTTAAGGGTGGCAGGAGGGGAATGCAACTTGTGGGCACCATTTTCTCAGAGGTGAAAGACGGCACAGAGATGTGTGGGGATGCCTCAGTGTCACACAGCCTGTAGGGACAGAGAAGCACTGGGGTATCTCCAGGCGAAAGCCCCCCTCTGTCTAGCCCCCGCTTGGGCTCTGGAGAGCTGCAGGCCTGGCTGGCCAAACAGGCTGGGTGTCACTTCCTGGGGTCTCCTCGGCCCAGGCTTTGGCATTGATTCTGCCAGCTTCTCAGGGCACCCTGCTGGGCCGAGGATACTGGGTCACTGCTCTACCCCACCCATCTGTCTTTCTCGTGGAAAGCACTGGGTCCACCCTGCTGTGGGGCTGACCGCTGGCCCCCCCCCCCCATTTCGGTATGAGCTGAGGCTCTGGGGTGGTTTAATCGCCTTGATTGAGTGGTGTTTCCGCTGCTCAGCCAGCGGATGCAGGAGGCTGCAGGGTGACAGTGCTGGTTTATCAGAACCCCGCAGACTCACCACCACCTCTGCTGTCTCTCCCAGGTCCGGCTCCAGAGGCACAGCCTCGGGAGTAGCTTGCTGGGTGGACCAAGCTCTGATCTGTGCGTGGCCCACAGGCTTTGCCATGCCCCATCACACACATAGCCTGCCCTGAGCTACATGTGGGGACCCAGAATTCTCAGAGTTCAAGGGGTGCGGGTGTCCAGGACCAGGCACTGGCTGGTGACAGTCACTGCTAGTGTGTCCTGCAGGCACAAGCATCCAGTAGAACAGGATTTCCTAGCCCGGCCTCCAGGGAGGGGCAGGCACAGGAGCTGTCTGTGTGGCCAGTTCAACCCTCATTGGCCATGCCTTCACCCAGCTCCTCCTTGGCACAACCGGGGAAACTGAGGCATAGATGAGGAACTGTCCGTCTCCCAAGCTCTGGAGCTGGATCTGGGCAGCAGCCCATGCATGGCCTTAGAATCTTGCTTTGTACCCCACGATGGCTTCTCCTTGCCCTCTGGATTGGTCCATCCTTGACCCCTTCTGAGCTTTGTATATCTGCAGTTCCGTTGACGCTCTTGGAGGAGTCATGAGCTCTGCATGCTGAGCTCAAAGCCCTTCTGCGCGGCTACTCATGGAGCACTTGTAGTGCTGCCTATCAGGGCTGAGGACAGAGCTGAGGCAGAGCTGACCTGGGCAGGCCTGGGCGTTGCTTGTTAAGAGCACATTCATCACCGACGGCTCCAGACTGCGCAGCTCTGAGTTGCACGAAAAGTCCCGAGTCTTGCTTTGGCCTCTTTGGGACTACAGGCCTGAGGCTTGCACCTGGGGAGGGCAGCAGCCCTGGCTACCTGGGTGACCTGGGGCTTCAGAGCTTGGTGAGAGCCATGGCAGACATGGGCGTGGTGGTTGGCCTTGGGCCCGAAGGCATTGCCAGCCCAACAAACCTGAATCCCCACGAACCAAGTCGCACTTGCAGGACCACTGAGTCTGGGGCAGGACACTGCTGGGATGGCTCAGCTTGCTTGCTGGGAGAGTGAGGTTACATCAACCACACTCCACAGCCCGGGGTGTGCCTGGGGGTTGGATTGTTTGGCAGAAGGCTCAGCTCACCTGAAGCCTGCTCCGCCCACATAGCCCATCTGTGAATCCATGTGAGCTATTTCCCTGGAAGCCTTGGGGTGCTGCTCAGAGAGATAGCCAGGGCCTGCTGGCACAGTGAAGGTCGGTCATGCTGGGGTGCTGCTTCCAGGCGTCACAGGCCCAGGGCTGGACCCCTGGCTCAGAGAAATCAGAGATCATGCAGGGAAAGAGGGAGGGAAGCCCTGTGGACTGAGGGCCTGCGTGATACTTGGGGCTGCCCCAACAAGGGTCCAGGGCTCCTCCTGTGGGCTCCGAGGTGTCTGGTGCCTGTCTGCTGGGGTAACTGCTCGGGACACAGAGGCCCCATGCCTGTCCTGTCACTTTCTCACACTGTCTCAGACACAGGGCGACAGGACCTCAGGGACCTGCCTGCCTGTGGGGTGACAGCTGGAATCAAGGAGGCAGACTGGCAGGACCGCTGCTCAAGGAGGTAAGACACTTGGACCTCCTCGTCACTCAGCCTGAACTGCAGGCCAGTGCCCCTGCCACCGTGCAAGCCCTCCTAGGTCTTGGGTCTACCGGACCGAGCTGGCACTGCAGGGCTTCTGTCTCCTCTGCAAGGCGGAGTGGACGCCATGCACCTCGCAGAGTGGCTTCTGGCAGGTGTCTTCTGGCAGCACTGAGGAACCCTTGGGGTCCTGGGGACCAAAGACCCCTGGCTGAGAACACTGATGTGGCAAGCAGGGGCACAGCAGGGGCAGCCCCCGGGCTTGCACTTCCCTGCATCGTGTTGGCCCTGTCACCTAAATGCCACCATAAAATCGGGACAATGCAAGCTGGCTCTGCTCTGCTCTTTCCATGCTGCTCCAGTGCTGGGGACAGGGACAGCGGGCTGGGGACAAAGGGCCAGGCGCAGGGGCCACTCTGCACATCTTCCCGTGGCAAGGTGGGTCATAGCTGTCTCCCTCGACACAGGGAACGAATTCCACTTACATCGCAATGGAGCACGGGCTCAGAGTCCCACGAGGAAGGGAAAATCATGCCAAACCCGCCCCCCTTACATGCACTGCCCCAGTGACTGCAGCCGTGCTGCTTGGCTGGGGTCTTCCATGCCAAACCCACCTGCCCCTCAGTGATTCTGAGACTCAGTGTGCCCTGGAGACTGGAGGTTCAGTGCCGGACTGCTAAGCTCAGGGTGGGCAGAGGAGGAGACCCGCTGCTGGTGGGTCCAAGGCTGGGCCTTGCCTTTCAGCTTCCAGGCTGGGCCCACAGTCCCCACACAGTGTCTGTGCCTTGCATGGGTCTGGGCATTTATTTGTTGAATGAATGAATGTGGAGGGGAAGATGTTCTTGCTTACTGAGCAGCTGGTGTAACCCAGTATTACTGATTAATGTTATTACTGTTAACAGCAGCTGCACTCTTCCTGGTCTTTATAGAGGAGGAAGACAGAGTCCAGGGTGGCGTGGGGTAGGACATCCCTGCCTCCTGCTTTTGAGTCTCCTTACAGAGTCCGAGACCCCTGCTCATGCACCCTCTCCCTTGGAGCGCCCTGTGGCCTGGTACTCCCGGTCCTTCCCGGGGGTTTTCTGGGAGCTCATCTTCAGAGCTATGGTCCCCGGTGTAGTGTCTCCTCCCTGTGGACATCACACCTGGATTCTGGGATGTGTGGTCTGCGGTGTCCCTAGCACGCACCAACTCTCTGCCAGGATCATTACAGGCCACAGACATGTGCTAACACAAATAACAATTAAGGGCCATGCACAGCCTTTCTGCTTCCCAAGTGGGGGCATTGTAAGCTGGTGGGAAGGGCTCAAATACAAGCTGTGCCAGCTCCGTGTGGCCCTCAACAAATGACACGCTGGCTTTGTGCCTCAGTTCTTTGCCTCATGGAGCATGGCAAGACTCCCATGCCACTTAATAGAAGCCAGAGTCACCAGCCTGTAACCCAGGGGTCATTGGAGCCACCATGATGGCTTTGCCCTTCCCCACCACAAAGGTGGTGGTAAAGCCCTGGTACTGACCCAGGGCCCGATCAGAGCCGTGAGGGCCTCCAGCCTCGAAGCCACCTCTGAGTTTGTCCTCTGGGTCCCCCGGGCCACCTATGCTCTCCTGCACCTCTGGGTCTTGCAGCTCCCTGTGCACATGGGCCAGTGCACCTGGGAACAGGAGTCTGCTTTTCCCAGGCAGCCGCTGGCTGAGCTGACCTGGGCTAACCTTGCTCTTCAGCTGTATTTCATATTCTGCTAACGTGACCTGGAAGCTTTACCTTCTTCAGGTCCTTGCAGTAGGCAGTGGGAAAGAGAGGGTGTCCTGTGTGCTCTGAGGCCTGCCTCACAGCTTAGAAACATCACCCTTAGGGATCCACCCTGAGAGCTAAAGAAGCACCCCTGATACACTCTCTGCTCAAAAGGGCAGGATGATGCACAGTCATGTGCAAATGTCCAGTGGCCCTTCTGGGAGGGGTCAGCTGCTTGCTAGCTGAGCAGTGAGCACAGAGGGCTTTCTCCTTGGTTACCTTGGAAGGGACAGACCCACGCTGTGGTTTGAGCAGGAGAAAAAATTCCCCAAATGGAACAGGAAGAGGAGAAAGCATTTCTTAGGATTCTCCCACATGCTGGGTGCCTAGCACTCATATGGTAATGATTGTGAGGGCCCTGTGGCACAGGTGCCAGTGTCGTTCCCATTTCACAGAGGGGCAGACTGAAGCTTGGAGCTTGCTGAGAGGATGCAGGGCTAGCTGTGGTACTGATTGTCACCAGACCAGCAGGTAGCTTCGTACAGGGCCAGCAGCCTCTCGCCCTGGGTCTTCTGGGTGCTCTAGAGCACTACGTCACCTGGCCACTGAGCCTCGGACCCCTTCCTGAGCTGTGTGTCCTTGGGCAAATTGCTTAACCTTCCCGCACCTCAGTCCTGCCCCTGGGAAGGGGCTCACAAGCTTCACCATGCTGGGTGACCTCAGAGTCACAACAGAGCCACTAGGACTCTGGCCTGGGGAGAATTATAGATGCCCAGGGTGGGGGACCAGGGCTTGTAACTGACCCCAGATGCTTAGCTCTGTGTGTCTGACTGTGACTTCTGCAACCTGACCTGCTTCTGAGAGTGGCTGGAGGAAGGGAGAGGCTGGCGATGCTTTGGGCAGCCTGGTGGCCCCAGGACAAAGCCAGCCAAGGCTGCTCCATCGTGCCCTGGCCCTGGCAGAGGGGCTCAGCAGCACAGATCTGGAAGCAGCCTCCAGACACAGCGAGAGCCTGTGGGAAGTGGTGAGGAGAACTAAGCATTTCCTCCCCGGCTTCTTCATGCTCTGTGACTTTTTGTGACAAGAGAGGCTGAGGCAGGACCCTTCCCCAGATGCTCGACATTGGAGAAGTCCACCTGAGGAAGAAGGAGGAGGCTTGCACCCCAGGAAACCGTGGGTCCTTGGGTTGTGTCCCATCTAGTTTGGGTCCTCGGGGGATGGATGGAGAACAGACAGTGTCCCTGTTATCAAGAGAGTGCCTCTAAGATGCTGTATCCTAGGACAGAGGGCTCCGAGGTCCTGGGGACAAAGGCCTCCCTGGTACACGGGGCTGGGACCACCTGAGGCAGGCTCTGCAGAGGATGCCTCCTCTCCCCGCAGTCTGCTGGGAATCCCTGTACCTTCCCTGACTTCGGAAGCTGCTGTCACTCAGACTCCATAGTCACCCTTGCAGCTGAGTCCCACAGGAGCCTGGGACCCCTGCAGGGTGACACCTGATGCTTCAGTGTCCCCACCTCTGCCTCAAGTGGACCCCTAGCTCTCCCCTGGCCTCTCTCTCCAGCTCATGTCCCAAAGCCCTGCTGATGCAGAGGCCTCTGGGAGCTTCCAGCTGACTGAAGGAGACCTGCCATTGAGCCCCAGGAGGTGGATTGGCTGGACCATGTGCATACCAGCACCACGTGCCCCACTCTGGTCGCCTTCCCTCACTGCCCTGGCTTCTCTCTACTGGTGCTGGACACACAGAGTGAAGCAGCCCAGCCTGGCCACACCCAGCTCTGAAGGAGGCTGAGACGGGCTACTTCAAGGTCCTAGGCTTCCCCTCTTCCTCCTGCAAGGGTCTCCAGGGGATTCCTGGGGTCAGGACAGGGGCAGCACATGCAGGGACAGGTGGCTTGGAGAACGCACTTGTTCCCACCTGCCCACCGATCCCTCACACCTCCCTCTGCCTGATCTCGGGGCCCAGGGCCCTCAGCTCCAGGACCCCTATGCCAATAGCCTCTTCTGGCCACCAGACACAGCAGCTCCCACCTGATGAGCTCCATCTTCAAAGAACAGGCACAGTGGTTCCCAATCCGGAGACCCAGGGCAGACATGGGCTGGACTTGGGTCACCCGGAGGAGGTGGCTATTTATAAACCACTCGATAAGCATAATCTGCCCTGCTCTGCTGGCCACACGGACGCGACACACAGCTGGTGACTCCACAGCGAAGCTAAGCCTTCCAGGGCCACCACAGCAAACAGAACATTTCCTGTGCCAGCCAGACCTGAAAGCGGGCTGTGGAGGGCAAAGGTCCCGTGCATTAGCTCCTGGTCCCCAGGACCGTATGCGGCTGGCCTCCCAGCTGGAACTTCCTCTGCTCTCCCGGGGTATGCAGGGCCACACTGGCCTCCTGCAGGGGTGGTCTGCTATCACAGGGGCAGCCACCTTCTGCAAAGGGCAACCTAGCCAAGGATGTCAGTCTGCAGCCCACATGGTCCCTGAGGGTGTGGTATAAAACAAATCATAGACCATATACAAAGGAGCGCGCATGGCCAGGTGCCAACGGAGCTAGGTGCCCGGCCCACCTACTGAGGTGACAGTTCTCTGGCTCTGGAAGACCAGACATCCCTTCCCATCCATGCCGTAAAGTTTATTCTCCAGGGTTCTTACCCTGTGGTGGCACTGTAAAATCCGAAATAACTTTTCTTGAGGCTATCTAGCTTTTCATACATAGTCAAAGCTATTCTTCTCAACCGTTAAGTGTTCTCCACAAAGAAAAGATTTTTTTTGTTTTTTAGATTGGCCCAGGAGGTCACCAGAGGCTGGCTGGGCCCCAATCATGTGTGGGGACAGGCGGCCTGGGGAGGGATTTGTGCAGGGGACACATGGGCCTCCAGCATCCACACACCAGAAATGTCCCGATAGCCATGCTCCCTGCTCCAGCTGCCGGGACTCTGCCTGGCTCGGCTCTGGGGGAGACCAGAGGGTCACTCCTCTGGCCTGCTGCCCCACCTGTAGCTGGGGAGGTGGCCCCGCTGGTCACAGAGGGACCAGTACGTCGGCAGTGACTGCTCCCTCAGCTGCACGGGAGCAGAGAACCCTGACACATGACAGAGAAGGACAAAGTCTCATGCATGGGGACCCAGTCCTCTGCACACAGTCCAGACAGCAGGTCCACAGCCCTAGCGCCCCAGCACTCCACACGCCCCGCACCATGACCGCCTCGGGCACACGTCCCCTCTGCCATCAGCTGGCAGTGGCCTGATCATGCCAAGGGGCCCGCCTGTGTCTGTGCCGCTCCTTCCTCACCACCCGTCCCAGCTGCTGCTCCCCAGGCCTCCCGGACCAGAAAGCCCGGCCCTGCCCAGCAGCCCAGGAGGCTTCTGCCCCTGTTGGCCAGGGCTGCCCGGGGACAGAGGACAGGAGACCCAAGCCTCCTGACTTTCCCCACCCTGCCCCACGACGGCCAGACCCTGGAGTCCGAGGGGCTTACCTCGGCAGAGACCCGGCGGGGACCAGTGTGCTGCGGAGGGGAAGAGGCAAACAGTCCAGGCGACACCCGCGTGGTGTCATGTAGCAGTCAGATTAAACAAACAGCCTCAGCAGCTATTTTTACACCCAGATCAGCCCCGGTAATAGATAACTTAGGGAGTCAAGAAATTGCTTGCCGATTAGCTGGACCCTCCCCACGATCCCGCGGTCATCCGAGTGACTCCTAAAGCCATTCGGGCATCTAGACGCAAATAAAAATATCTCAAGGTGGGAAGGGAAGCGTGCGTCTAGGGAAAACATGAGCCTGTATGCTTTGGGGCCAGCGCCGGGAGGCCTGCTGATGTCCCTGGGCAGAAATAGCCCGTTTCATCATCGGCCCTGGACGGGCCATGGCTGCATTCCTCGAGTAAGGAGCCACCCTCTGCCGAGCGTTTGGAGTAATGATCTGCCAGCTGCAGGCTGGGGACAGGCCAGGCTCAGGTTCGGGGGACAGTGCCGCAGGCCGTGAGTAATCAGGAAGAGGCAGGTAAGTGGCTCCACGCTGAGCTCGGCCACAACCGCCCGGTCCCTCACACGGCACAGGTGCCAATGGGCAAAGCCCTTCTGCCAGGCAGGGGACCCCTGGCTTCTAGGGCAGCATTCTGACCAGCCGTCCCACGACCACCTTCTCTTTTGGCCCAAGGTCACTAGCTCCCCACACTGTCCAAACACCCCCAATTCCTTCCAAGAATGCTCGCTAACCCATGCCAGCTCCTGGGGGGCCCTTCTCACCCTCCCTCAGCTGGCCCCCTGAGGGTCCACTCACTGTCCAGATTTAGTGTCACAGATTTTCCCATTTTTCCAAAAACTGTCTCATGTTCCTCTCTCTCATGGCCCAACGAAATGGAGGTGACCAGTCCCTGGCAGGTGCCCTGTCCCCCGCGGTGCCCCTGCCCCGGGAACTCTGCAGGACCAGTATCACTGATCTATTTGTGGACTGCCCCTCCCGCTCGGGGCTCCTCAAGGGCAGCCACCTCTGCCCCAGCCCCGGCCAGGGCACTGCACCACCTCCTGCCTCGACGCTGCTGGTGGTGGGGGCCCAGGACCGGGTCTGCACACGTTCATTCCAAGTACTTTGGAAGGAACAGCTCCCCAAGCCCCTGAAGAGGGAGATGCCCATTAAGTCACCCTGCTGCTGTGAGCCTCAGTTTACCCACTTATCAGGTAGAGAGGGTGCTCGTGCTCTTTGGGGCTGAAGTTGCAGAAGCTCGTGGACATTCATACCCTGTGCCCGCACACCAGGCTTCTCAAAGCTTAGCCTGTCGCGGACATTCATACCCTGTGCCCGCACACCAGGCTTCTCAAAGCTTAGCCCTTGTTTGTTTTTTTCATGATTCTGCCACACCTACAACTGTGTGTATCAGCATTTGTCGACGATGTTCCTTCAAAGGAATTTTAGATCAACTTAGCTTGGTTTTGAGCAGAGTATTAGGGCGAACAAGAGCTGAAAAATCATAGACTCGATGTGCTGCTTACCATCATTCCTGTGACACACAGAAACAAATGGGCAGCAGTCCCTGTGTCCGCTGCGCCTGTCCCAAATCATTTGGTCCCAGGTGCTGGGAAATGTAGCCTTGCCAAGTGTCACTTATGCAGGAGGCGGTTTGGGGGCGATCGTAACCAGAGCCGCAGTCTTGGGGGGATCCCCAGTTTTCCTGACTTGATTTCCTTTCCTCAGGACGTTTTGGCCTGACTTGCTTCCAGTTCCTCCCAGGTAGGAGGGTCTGGGGTAGGATCCTAGGAACCCAGAGCTGTGCTCTGAGCTGGGAACCAGCGGTGTTTGCTCAAAGTGGCTATGAAAGGAAAATAGCCCAGGGGCCGGGTGGTGGCAGGCAGCTTGGCCGCCAGCGTCAGGGGCAGAGTCAGGAGAGCAGCTGTCTCAGTGAGACCCCAAGGCCTACTTCACGGCCCCACCCAGCCAACCTGCGTGTGGGTGGTGGCTGGAGTCCCCTGGCTCCAGGAAAGCCTGTACCCTCCCACACCGTGGCTCCCACACTCTGCTCGGTGGGTGCCCTGGTGCAAACCAGCCTGGGGCAAGGGCACAGCTGAGCTCTCGACCGAGAACCCAGGGTCTCATGGCCGGGAGCTGGCGGTCTTCCTGGGGGCTTGGCCCAGGCAAAGTGACCCCTGCCTTCCAGTCCAGCAGCCGTGAGCTGCGTGGAAAGAATGTGAGTGAAGACACTATTCTAAATGTAGCAGCCTCATGGGCGCTATGTGAGCCAGCCTGGCCCCGACCGTCCAGAAAAACAGGGCCCGGTGTACATTCTGCAAGAGCGTAAATAAAGCTGTCCTCAGATGGCGTTCTCGAGTCCCATCCCTGCGGAGGCCCTGGGGCCCTGAGAGGTGAGCATCTATCTACCGGTGTGGGCATGAATGGCCGGGTTATGCTCCCCTCACAGGAGGACCCGCTGCCAAATCTCATGGCAAAGTCAACCCGTTCTGCATCCATGTCCATGAGATGTGTCCAAAGCTGGGGCCGAGGGGTGAGCGGCGTGGGCCTTGCAGCTAATTTCTGGTTCCAGGCATCTGAAATTCCCTTCCCTTCAGACGATACCAGTGACCCACGGGACTCTCCCACTATCCTGGCCTGAGCAGCTATGACATTTCTCCACAGGGACAGATTTCTTCAGGAGACTCGTGCAGGAGCCTGGTGCATCCTAACCCTAAGCCAGGGCCATCTCCTTGCACCACATTCTCGCTCGCTTGAGTGACGGTAGTCAGTGCTTTGGCCTTACAGATGAGGAAACAGGCTTGCAGAGGTCCAGAGGCCGTGAGCTGACAGCGGCCAGGGAGAAATCGTCCACTCTGCCAGCCCAGGCCCATGACACAGCCTCTTCCCACAACCACTCGCTGGCCTTCTCCCTGGCCTGGGTCCCTCCTTGGCTCTGACCATTGTGGGAATCTGAGAATCTGTGCCCTGTCTTGGCACCTGTGTCCTCAGGGCTGGTGGCAAGTTGGTACACCCACCAGAGGAGGCCAGTTCTGGGGCTGAGACCCAGCTCGCCTTTCGAGGGGTCTGTGCACGCGATGCTGCCTGCAGGGACCCTGGGCTGGCACCTGTGCTGCTCAGAGCTGTCCTGTGCCTGGCCGGGGGGCTGACCTGGGCGGGCGGGGCCCCAGCTACTGTATCACAGCTGGAAAAACCACCCACAGACCCAGGCAGCCGAGGGCTCTTCCTGGGGCTAGAGTTCTTTCTGTCTGAACAGCCAGGCAATCAGAATAATGACTGTCACAATTCCACAAGGGTCACCCTGGAGGATACTTGTCCCTTTTCAGGGCTCTTTGCTGAAGTCCTCAGCAAATGTGAATGGTGTAAACCAAATAGGTGAGAGAACCCCCAGTGTGAAAGGGGGAAACACAGAACTAAGATGCCACCAGACACCACCACGCCACAGTGATCAGCTGCGAGATCTGTCTCCCTGTGGAGCTGGGGAGAGGGGTGCGGGAAGCTCCTCACTCAGATTTGCCAGGTACCTGGGAAGCCAGGGTCCAGAGGAGCCGCATCCGGGTCCTGCAGCGTCACAGCCTGAGGGTCTTCCTCATGCCCACAGTCACAGTCTCTGAGCGAAGAGGAGCAGGGGACACGACCCAGAAACCGTGAGAATGCACGTGTAGAACTTTGAATTTCATGTAATTTACGCATGTCAAAAGTAGTGTTCGATTTTCCATCCAACTATGGGGATGGGTGGAGACCATTCTTAGCTTAGGGAGCTGTACTGGGCTGGATTTGGGGCAAGGATCCTAGCTGGCTGATCCCAACACCAGTGGACACAGACCAGCCGTCTTAGACGTGTTCTCGTTGTTGGAGCATAATGCTTGATACCCACATTTTAAAAGACGAGAGGTGCATTTGGGCTCCCCACACTTAGGGGGTTCAGTTCATGGTGGGGGCAGCTCCAGGGCAGGAACAGCAGAGCGGAAAGGCCCGCTCTGGAGGACTGGCACTTTACAGCATGGTGGTGGGGAAGACAGAGGCAAAGGAGGATCAGGGGAGGGAGAGAAACCCTTCCAGGCCACACCCCGGGTGACCCCCACTCTCCCAGCCTGACCCTAGTTACTTAGCACACTGAGCCCCGGGACACATCAGTGGATGGATGCACCACTCAGTACAGCAGCCCACTGGATCCGAGCGCCTACCAAACCCAGCCTGGGGGCACCTGAGAGTTTGGGGGGTAGGGTCCTTCTCCACCTTATAAATAAAGCCATCTGAGAGAGCGAGCACTTACGAGACAGGTCTACATTGAGACACACTGTGAGATGCACACAGACTCAAAGACATCATCAAAAAAGTCCCCACTAGATAACTCAGTGGTGTTCACACAGATGACTCCTGGCCCAAAGTGGCCCGACCCACCAGCTCTCACCTCATGACGGTGTGAAAGCATAGAGTAGGTACCCAGAACAGAACATTCTGTGCAGTTCTGACTTCCAGTCCAGCATCTCCCTGGGTTTACTGGTCATCACCTACCGGAAGCTGAGGCACATCTGTGGTTGGGTACTCTGGGTTTCATAACTGTTAAAATTCACTTTCACAATTTCTTTTGCCCTTTGATTGTGGCTTCTAGGAGGTGTAAAAGGACACTTGGGATGTGCACTGTGATTGTATCATGCACAGGATGGGGCCAGCCCTTCTCCGGTCATGGGCCTCCTTTCCTGTATCCCACTAGGACACTCCCCGGAAGCAGTAGCTGGGGCAGCTGTTTCTGGGTCACTAGGAGTATTGTTGTCCCTGCTGTGAAATGTGGGGCCCCTAAGGAATTAAACCTCCTGTCAACAAAGAATGGAGGGCAGAGACTCTGTCCTTCTAGAACTTAAGCTAGACATTCACCACACTAGCCCCTCTCTGTTCTCCACAGTACAGGTCACTTACAGAAGCCACCTGGCTTTGTACCTGGGCTGTGCTGGCTCTCAGGAGAGCTTCTATGGAGCCATCAGTGCTTTATGTACCCAGCACACAGGGGAAGGCATGGGGCATGGTCCCCTCCTGCTCCAAGGGCTCCCCACTTCTCGCTACTGCTCCACGATGACCTTGGGGTTTGGGGTTCCTCCTGGGCCCCCCAGAGGGGGAAATACGCTGAGTGCAGGGATCCAAGCCCACTCTCTGGGCACCTTGGGTCCCAAGCCCTCCCAATGCATTTGTGCCTGCTGCCGGATCCACACGGAGCTCTGAATACGGAGCTCTTCCTGGGTGTCAGCACCAAGGGCCCCTTCCCGTGTGGCATCTTTTCCATCTCTGAGGCAGTGGAAAGTTAGGTTCCAGAGGGTCCCATAGGCGGCACTGGGACTCGACTTCAGGGAGTTATGCATCAGCCTGGAGGTCAGGGCTTCTATCCAGGGTCCCCAGGAGTGTCTTTCTTCCAGGCAGGGCTTTTGGGATGGGTTATGGGGTTTACAGTTGCCTTGGAATTAGAAGATGGGTCTGACCAGAAGAGGTGGTGCCTGGGGCATGTCTGGAAGGTTTCTCTCCCCCAGCTTTCTCCTTGGATCTCTCTGCTTCTCGGGTGCCAGGCCATAAGCTGCTCTCCTGAGCTCTCTGTGCTGCCTCAGAAATAGTGGATAATGGACTGAAAACTTTACAAACTTCGAGCCCAAGCGAACCTCTTCTTTGAACTGTGGTGTCTGGCCTTGTGTCTCCACAAGGAGAAAGTGATTAGAAGACACCCATCCTCCAACTGATCTGAGGTTTGGCTTCCCAGAGGCCTTTGGGTGAGGGTCCCCAAAGCCAAGTGGATCCAGCTGTCTGTGCCATTTCCGGTCAGGTGGGGCTTGGCAGATCCCCCCCCCCCCCGTTGGCACAGCTGGGAGGAGTCTGGCCTCTTCCCAGATCTGCAGTGTGGCATGGAGGCAGTGCTGGAGGCTGCATGGCATGATCACTGGTGAACGGCAGTGTGCCAGGGGTGAGGCTGGGCTTCTCCTTGTGGGGCAATCCGGTGCAGCTGTAGGAAGGGACAAAAACCGTTTTCCATTCTTGGTGGGGTCCGACTCCAGGACGAGGGGAGACACAGGCCCAGCTCATCAGCCACTCACTTCAGGTGGGCTGCAGGTGATTGCACCCGTGCATGTTGCTTTGACTGAAAAGAAACACGAAGCAGAAAAAGCAACACCATCACCAAATATGGTCACCCATGGGACAGGGTGGGTGGGGCAGGGGCGGAACTGGGGAGCTGGGCTCCTCTGAGCCCGCCCTTCCTCTGGGTGGGTGGATTTGAGCTGGATTTGTTTTGCAGAATTTTAAAACCCAAATTAAAAAAAATTAAAGGCAGTGCCTAAAAACTGAGGGACTTCGATTTCAACAGAGTGAAACAAACGGGCTGAATGTGTAGGTGGCTTAATTTCCCAGAGAGGAGCTGTCTCACATGGCTTTAAAACACAGTAATTTGATTAATACCCAGAACGGGGCGCAACCTACCACAAAATTAAGTGCAAAATAAAATCGTAGGTGTTCGCCAAAATACAGATAGATAAGATAAAGCAAATAAGTTAATGCCACTAGAAAGCAAGACTGTTTTAATGTTGGAGAAAATTAAAACATTTGAGTGAAATCTTGCATTACTAAGCTGGAATATCAATATAAACTCTCAGTCCTGACCTCCTACAAAGGAAAGGATTGCTCATTGGACAGAGTTGCAACCCACCACACTTCACCTGGGGTTTTAAACCTCATGATATCCTCACTGGAAAGAAGAAAAAATGTACCTAAGACGACACCCTGTCACGCCGGAAAGGCAGGCAGGCCATCAGACACCTCCCGGGGAGTCTGTGAAAAAAACCAAGGTGCCATCAGGAAAGGCTCCCCATATGTGTGGGGGAGCAGCTTGTCTCTCTGTGAGCATAAAAACAGCTATAAATAAAACGTTCACTGAATGTGTTCCAGCCCTGCAGTTCAGACAAACCCAGGAGCTCCCACCACTCTAAGATCCCTTGGGCTGGTGGGGTTGGCCTGGTCTGAGAAATGGCACAGAGTGGGCCACAGCGTGGTCACTGAGTGGACAGCATGGGCACTGTGGTCCCAAGCGCCAGGTGCTGGGCGCAGGAAGCCCCTCAGATTCCTAGCAAGGAAGCTTTCCTAATCCCAGGAAACCCAGGACCACGAGGGCCGCTGAGAAAGCACAGACTCAGCGGGAAGCAGCTGCCCTCCTGCCTGGGCTCGACCACCGAGTCCCCGCATGACCGGCACAGCAAGGGATGGCAGTGAGATGACACTTCGAGGGGCAGTCAGCAAGGCCGGGAAGCTGGGAAACCTGCGGGCAGCCTGCAGGAGGAAAGCCAAGGTCCCTAACAACGAGCTCTGGGAAAATGGGGCAGGGGAAGCCTACTGATTAGGGACCAGAAGGACAGTGGTCAGAGACCATCCAAAGCCTCGCTGCTTCCCGAGCCTGCAAACAGTCACAAGACGCCTAGGGACAGAGGGATACTGCTGGGCTGCATGGCTTGGGGACTCAGCGCTCATTTTTCAGGCACAAGAGCATTCAGCTTAAGAATGGAATCCCACGGTGGCTGGGGCTTTCTTCAAAGCAGTGTAGCCTGCAGGGAGATGCCCCTGCACAGGGAGGAGTGATTTTGAAGCTGAGCACTTGTTATCCTAACTTCAGAACCTTTAAATGTGTTCATTTGAAATGGCCCGTGATTGTAGGAAACCCTGGGCTAGAGGACAAAAAAGGACCAGAGGATGCAGGCAGGCAGACAACTCCGGGGAGGAGACACGGCCAGGGAGCCGGAGACGCGGGCCCGGCTGACCCTGGCGAGATCTGAGCCTGCCCTGCCAGCCACGTGGCAAGGGAGGTGGCACCTGGGCCCGCCTGGGCTGCGCCGCAGACTCCACTCTGTCTGGTGGCCTCACTTAGGGTTATTTGATACGGCGTGGCTTCAGGAGGGCAGCGGCTCCCCAAACATTGGCAAAGACAGAGACATCGGGAACAATTAAACATCCAGGCCACACCTCGGGCTGCTCTGACGAAGGGAAAAAATATTTAGAGTGGGCTGTGATGCAATGGGGTAAAATGGAGCGCGTGGCGTCATGCAAAACCCTGTGTCCACAGAGACAAAAAGCAAACATGTCTGTGTCTGTGAAGAGCCTCAAACACCATACTGCAAGCATAAAGATAGAGAAGACCAATGAATGTTTTGCAAGTTAAGCGCGCGGTGTTGAATTTTTCTTTAAGACTGTGCAAGCCGTATGCGTGGTGCTTGCCGGGAAGCAGAGGCAGGAGGGTCACCTGGTTAACTGGGCTACGCAGTGAAGTGAAGGCCAGCGCCCCAACTTCACAGGTAGACCCTGTCTCAAAACGACAAGGACAGAAAAAAAGAAGGATGCAGGTGGCTGCAGCAGGGTCGATAAAGCCCATCGACACTCATTGGAGGCACTTGGCTCTCGGCATGGTGTTCCTGCTGGGAGGGTGCGGTGGGTGTTTGTACCCATCATTTTCACCTCTACTGTCAGAGCTTCTGGCTTCCTGTGGGGACCTGAGGATGTCATGGCTGTCCCCAGCCTGCACAGCGAAGCTGCTCAGAGGAATCCCTTCCCATTCTCGGGATGGGAAACGGTACATGTAAGGCAGGCACAGCCCATTGTACACCCTTGGGAGGTGGCTTTGTGAGTCACCATCTCTGCTCTGGCATTAGGTCTGGCATTCAAGTCAAAGTCTTCCACGACTAGCTCTGCTTCCAGAAGCTTCTGGAACAGTCTAGAGACTTCTGGATGCTTCTGGAGGGGAGAACTCAGGAGGCTGTGGGTCCCTAGTAGAGCACAGTACTGGTTGATCTACAGAGGGCTTCATATCACTGTGTCACATTTTGGCACCCAGAGTCCTCCAACTTTGTCATCCCCCACTTTCCAGGGATGAAGAGGAACAAGGGGACTTCCAGGGAGTCATGCAATGAATCCAGAAGATGCCAGAGCTGGTGGCTGATCCTGGACTTGTCCACTGCCAGCATTCTGGGAAGGATGGGCACTTTCTCTTCCTGGCATATCTTGATCATCATCTTTAAACTCCTACACTGTCCAAGGCTGCCCAGGGCCAGTTGTGGCCCCTTAGAGCTTCAAAAGGCTGGGTTTTATAAGAGCTTGATGGATTGACTACATTTAAAAATCAAGAGGTTTGTGCAGGGACTGCTGTGTGACTGGCTGTCTGGTGGGAGAGGGGGTTCCTGGGGGTGGCACACTCACAGACGGGCAGAAGCTGAGCTGAGCTGCAAGCCCGCTCCGCCCCTGGTGTGGACCCCTGCTTCTCCCCTCCCCACAGCACCTGCCAGCCCGGAGGTGGAGACCTCAGCAGGGTCCCGTGACTGCCAGCCCCTCACCCTGTCACCTGTGCTCGGGTACTCTCCAGCCTCGGAGAGCCGGGTGCCCTGGGAGTGGGGGGAAAGCAAGCCTGAGGCACCCAGAGCAGGAAGCTGGGGAGCGCTCTGCTCCGGAAATGCCATTCTCAGGCTCAGAAGCATTACTTGCCCTGCGTCCATATATTTTTATGAAATCTGAAACCCACCCAAATTTATTGAAACTGCCTGCATCATAGCGGGAACTCACACCGAGCAGCCTTGCCCGAGAGCCTGGTTATTATCATGGCATTATTTATTTATATCCTACCGAAGACAGACATGATGTAACCCAGTAATTAAGATGGTTATGATGGAATGTTTATTAAGCGTCCACACTCAGCAGTCTCAGAGCCCAGTGACACGCGTGTCCCCTCGAGAGCATCCATCTCCCCACATCGGAAGCCCGGGACCCTCGCAAGGCAGAGGGACAGGGGGTGTGAAGGGTTCTGCCTTCCCCGAGCGGGCAGCACAGTCACAGATGCAGGCACTGGGGTAGGAGCTCGTGACCCCCTTCCTGGTGGTCACTTCAGGGGGGCGTTTCTGCACTTAGGAAGAGCGCAGTGTGGTCCTTGGATTCTGGGTACCATGCTGCCCCCAGCTCGAGGAGACTTTAGGTAAATCCACTCGCTGCAAAGGAATCCTATTCACTTCCTCCCAAAGTCTCCTTGGATTGCTGTGATTTTCTTTTCTGATGTAGTAAAATACGCACAACACAAAATTTACCATCATCGTTTTGGGGGCACAGTTTGGTATTTTTAAATACACTCCATCCTTTTGCATTTCTTATTTTGAAACAGGTTCACACTAGTGGCCAAATGGCCCGGGCTCAGGCTGGTCTGGAAGCTGTGATTCTCCTGCCTCAGCCTCGTAGAGGGCTGGGATGATGGGCGTACACCAGGTTAGTATTTGCCTTTTCTGTGTTTGGCTTATTTCCCTTGACATGGCGCCCTTGGAGTTCGCCACTGTGGTGGCATGTGTCCCAGAATCTGCCCCTGAAGGCAGGCATTCTGCGCTGTGTGTCTAGGCCTCTTGTTTCTCTATTCCCGGCTGGGTGGATCCCTCTTGGCTCTGGTATAGCCTCTGCCTGCTTTGGTGCCCGAGCCCGGCTCCGGGAGACATCCTGCAGAGCTGCTGACAACCACAAGGCCACATCCTTGTCCAAGCCCTGGATTTCCTGATTTTTTATATTAGTTTGCTGCAGTAGTGACCACTGTAACAGTGTGTCTGGTGGCTTCAATTCGCATCTTGCCTAGTAATTAGAAGGTAGTTAGTAAAGAAGCCTCCAACCTCAGCTTCCCAGGGTTTCAGGTAAAGCCAGAGGCCTCACACTGCATGGTTTGTGACAATACTCGGTCCTGCTCTGTGCAGATGGGCAAGGCACACAGGCCACTCTGGGGGAGCTGTGGCCAGTGCCTGCAGGGACCCCTCCCTGCCCTGTGCCGGGGGCTTGGCTTCCCTGAGGGGAAAGCACACAGGGACCCTCCTGAGGATGCATTTCCAGCTCCTGGTGTAGTGGCCAGCATGATGGCTGGCCTTTGGCAGGGGAGGGTGACAGAGTCAGGTGACCTTGGTGTACCCCGCTGCCAAGGTCTTGTCTGGGCAGGATCCTTAGAGGCCCAGCAGGGGACACGGCTGCCTGTGGAGACACTGATGAACCTCTTGCTTGGGTGCAGGTCTCCTGCTGCTGGACACAGGCTCCCTGGGCAGTCTGCCTCAGCTCCGCCCCATTTGGCTGCTTGCCCAAGGGTACCGCAGTGGGGGCAGGACTCAGAGGCCAGCGTCTGGACCGCCCAGTAGTGAAAGACCCCTCCTCAAAGGAGCAGTGCTATCTCCTGGCATCTGTAGTCCAGTACCAGGTGGATGGCCAGCCCGGCTCCCCGGCAGGCTTTGTATGCAGAGCAGGAGCGAGTTGTACTTCTGTAATGTCCAGTAGACTCTGCTCACGCTGTATGGGGGCCTGTATGGGTCACTTTTCTGTCCCAGGGACACAACACCCAATGCCTGCAACTTGAAGGATGGGAAATTCAGTTCAGCTCCTGATTCTGGGGGAGTCAGTCCATGGTCAGCAGCTGTAAGGCGGGAGCGTCATGGTGGAAGGGTGAGATATCGCAAAGCTGCTTAATTCATGGTGGCCTGGAAGCAGAGCAGAGGAGCAGTGGAAGGACACAGGGACCACAGATGGAGCCCAAGGCCCCGCCTCCACATCCCACCATATGCACCCCGTAGTTGGCTTTGCTAAGCCCCCAAGACAATCAAGCTGGTACAGTTAGGTTTAATCATCACAGGGTCCATCAGGCTGTTATGCTTTTCTTCTCTTTTGGTCCTGGGGATCGAAGCCAGAGGGGCTTGCCCACTACCACTGAGCTACTCAATTCTTATTTTTGAGACAGAAACTTAATAAGTTGCCCAAGCCGATCTCAAACTTTGTATCCTCCTGCCTCAGCCTCCTGAATAGCTGGGATTGCTGGTGTTCACCATTGTGTCAGGCTCTGCTTTCTATTAAAACAAGCCCCAGAGATGACAGTTTTAAGTGGTCCAGTAACTACTAAAGGGGTGAGTGCAGGGCAGAGGCAGGGCCTTTTGAAACAAAGGATGGCAGAGGGAGATTTAGACACAGAGCTGATGCCACCAGCACCAAGGGCATCTGTGGGAATGACGTCCGCCTGAATGGACTGCCAGGGACCAGTTTTAATTCGGAGCAAGATGAAGCCACCAAGCCAGCCACACCCCAGGGAACTATTCTAACAGTGATCATGATGCCAATGCCTGCCAGACAGAGGGGAGAGGAAACCTCCTGCTGGTGGCTGGAAAGCCAGCAGGACTTGGGGTGTTTGCCACCTCCTCCGAGGCTGTTCTGTTCCTCCACGCCCACCTGGGTGACCGCGGAAAGGTGGGCAGGGACAAGGGAGTCCTCTATTCCTTGGTGGCCCACAGAGAGGAGCAGCTCAGACCCAGATGGCGCGGAGGACAGGAGCTCCCCAGAGACCCCAGGTGGCCCAGCCTGCCACCTGCCTTAATCCCAGCACAGGGACTGTCACCCAGTGGCCAGGGCCGTTTCTGACTAATCCATACCCAAGCTGCCTCCATCCCCTGGGTCCACAGAGTGGTCTTCTGCCTAAGAGTCTCCTTGTGTGTTTACAACAGAGTGGGTTAGACATGTGTACAGGTGTGCGTGTGTGGAAGTCTGTGTGTACAGCTGAGTGTGAATCTGTAGTGGAAAGTGTGTGGCAGAGTGTGCCTGCTTGAGTGTGTCTGGTTGAGTGTGTGGGTGTGTACGGATGTGTGCATAGACAGGTTCCTGGGTCAAACCTGGCACTGCCCTCTCACCTTAAACAGTAAGAAGCTGATGCCCACTTTTGGGGCTGATTTTCTGGAGTCTTCAGTAGAATTCTTGGTAGTGTCATTGTGCGTGCTACAGAAATAAAACATGTCCTCTCTCACTTCTCGCAATTGGAAGGGCTTTGGGCGGAGCACGGATGGTTAAAGAGGTCCTAGAACAGCTGGGTAGATGAGTGGGGGAGGCCACCCAGTCTCAAGATTCCTTGTACACGGAAACTGAGGCCTGTGGGTACGAGCCTGCCCCCAGCTCCCGGGTGCACCGAGGCTGGTTCACCCCAGCCTCCTCCCTCTACTGCAACGCTGCCCGGCCCGGGGGAGAATAGCAGCTGGACACTCAGGGCTCTGTCCACAGGGCCTGGTGCCCACAAGCTTCATCACAGCCCACTGTGCAGCTCCAGAGCTGAAGATAGGCCCTGGGGCACAGCTCAGCTTCCTGCCAGGGATCCTGTGCCCCGGGCCAGGCTCAGACCTGGAGACACAGGGCAGCCCCACTGGGCTGGCACTCTGCCCCCTACTGGTGGGCGGCCCACTCTGCAGGCCACACTGCTGCCTTACCTGGGCCCTCAATCTTCGGATTCAAGGCCAGGGTGCAGAGGGCTGGGGTGGGGCAGAGACCTCAACTAGGGTGCAGCCGGGATTGCAGAGGCTCCCTGCAAGAAAACAGAAAACCAGCCAGCGCCATGGTGCAGGCCCGCAGTGCCTGCAGTCAGGAGGCTGAGGCAGAAGGGTTGCTGTGAGTTCGAGGCCAGCCTGAACTACACAGGAAGACACTGTCGTGAACAAAACAAAACAAAGCCATTGACCTCTCTCTTTCTCCTCCATCATCTTTTTTCAGGCTGTGAGACAAGGCCCTGCTATGTCTGTAGCCCAGACCGTTACTAAACTCTGTGCGGCAGTCCTCCTGCCTCAGCCTCCACATTTCTGGGCTGCACTCCTGCACCCCGCTAACCCACTCGTTTTTTCCTCCTTGATTTTTCTTTTCTCTCTCCCATGCAGTTACTGTCACACCGCCTGGAAATTTCCATGCCCTTTTGTCCCTAAGCATCGGGAGGAAAGCATCCCCTGTTCTGATGGTTTCTCCCGCAGCTCTGGTTTCAGTGGCTCTGGGCACCGTGCTGTGGGTTTCCAGGTCATTGGGATTTTTCAAGTGCGCCGTGACGGTGACATTTCTGGGGAAGACTTATTTAGACTGTTGTGGTGGGACGCATCTGCTGGTTGTCGCTTGTGGATGACAGCGGTGCTGGGAATAAGCAGTCTAGCACGCCACAGCCCGTCCCTGAGCCGGCTGCCTGGCTCACCCCATGTTGGGGGGCACACAGAGTTTTCAGCACCGGAGGCTACTCTGAGTGGCTAAATGGGGCCTCTGATTGCAGGATCCTCTCTGTCTACAGGTGACTGGTCTGGTTCGCAGAGCTGGTGAGGGGAGCACAGCTGACCCAGTGATGGCAGGTCCCCTTGTGTCCCTCGGCCTCTGCTTCCTCCTCTGGGGCTGAGACAGACACAGGCAGGCAGGGGCCCCGCAGGAAGGAGCCTCCTCTAATCAGGTGCTGAAAGCACTCTCGGGGGGCGCTGACAAGAGCCATTTCAAGCCAATTTTGTGACACTTCAGAGCAGAGGTCAGGTTGCTGTTGCAAAGCCTGCTCCCTGCCCCCAGCTGTGACTCTCCTGGACCCTGAAAGAGGTGGGGATTTCTATATATCTGTAGACCACGGAGCTTGGAGCCTTTTCTTGGAGAAGGAGGATGAACCCAGAACCCATGGGCGGGAAGAAGAGGTCCCCTCCGGCCGGGCACACAAATGACTGACTCCCCATGGCTGTAGCCCAGCGACACAGACGGAGACTGAGCCTATGCCCGCCATGCTCCTAAGCCCTCTGCTGAATTCCTCCGGCTGTAACCGAGCTGATAGCTGCGGGTTTCCAACTCCCAGTGAGATTGCCAGGTCATGACTTCTCCCAGGCCCAAAGTGGCGGGGTGTAGGGTCCTCAGACAGCTCTCCTTGTTCCTGGGGACAAACTGTGTTTGGGTGGCGCCCGCTCTCCTGGAGCAGCCGGATGGGTTGCCCTGCTAGGGTGGTGTGGTGCTGCTGCGGGCTCTCTCGTGCCCCCTAACGCTGGGCTCCTGTTCCTGCTGCCCAGCACCTGAGGTCAGGCATGGGCTAAATATAGCCACCTCCTAGCAGGTGGTCAGCAGCGCTGTCCCTGGCTTAGGGACTCAGTGTCAGGCTCCGTCGGGGGGGGGGCTTTTTTTCCTATCTCTTCCCACTTGGGTTCTGGGTCCAGGAGCAGACTCTACCGAGCAGGCTGGAAGGCAGTGGTGGGGTATTTGGAGTTGGAGGGAACCCCTGATGGGACCTAGTGACACAGAAGGTGACTAAGGCACAGGATTTGGAGCATTGGGCTCATTTGGAATGAAACCCTGGCTTCTGTATTTTCCAAATTCTTGTCACTACGTCTGTCGTGACTCCCTTGAGTCACGCAGGAGGTTTGCACGCAAGAGACGAGAAACAAGACATTCACTGTCCCTGAGCTGATTGAGTGCTCTCAGTGTGGAGCACCGTC